TATTAACCTACCGTGCCATGACGGTTTTTGTACTCATTGGGTGCGAGTACTGAGCATTTTGATATTAGGTGATCAATAGTTTCAATGCATTTGCTACAGAACCAACATTTTGGGGCCGTAATATTACGGAAGCTATTAGCTTGTTAGTTGCGTGCAAACAATCTCTATTCTTGTTTACCAAGAATAAACTGTTCAGTCTGACGCTTAAGATATGAATTCCTTAGCCACGACTTGGTTTGAATTGATCTACATCAGCGTTTTTGTTTTGGAGAAAGAAACTGCTGGTGTAGAGGATTCTGTCAAAACTTTCTTGTATTTGCTTTTTGGTCGTGATTTGTTTCGTTTCAGTTTTCTTGTTAATTTTGTGGCAATTGTATCTACTTCCCCCGCAAAATTTAACATCATCATCATTATTATTATTATTATTATTATTATTATTATTATTATTATTTCCTTTGTTTTCTGTAGTATACACATTTCGGTAAATATTGGTTTTGTTACCCGTGCGTAGTGATTTTCTGCAAGGAAAGTCTGTAAAAAAAAGTAAATAGGCCAAATGTTCTTATTACGCCGGCGTAGGTATCCCGCATTGAATCGAGATTCATGATGGGGAGTAATGGGGGACGAATGACCAACAAGGTCCGATTTTTTTTCTTTTGTCGATAACTCCAAAACGGTAAGGTTTCTTCATAATTTAATTGTTAATTCGAGTTCAGTATGTACATTTGCAAAAGAATTTTAAGGGATATTAGCGCACGGGTAACAAAACCAATATTTACCCACATTTCTTTCCGGCTCCCAACCAGAGATCTAAAGTCAGAAATGTCTTCATGACATTTTCCACTGATCATTTTTGTAAAAAAATACTAATAATAATAATAAAAAAAATAAGATCACACATATTTTATATATATAATGCCTTTCGTAAGGTGTGAGCTATACTTGTAAGTACAAATTTTAGTATTTTTAAGGCATGAGCTACCAGGAATCCCTTTACTGAGTGTATCGGAACATTTTCCAATCAATTCCAAGGCTCCAACTACAACTGGAATTACTGATGTCACCATATGCTTCTTTTTTTTAGATTTCTACTTCAAGATCCTTGTATTTTGATAGTTTTTTTGTAGATCTTCAAAGATACTTTACAATCTGCAGGGCCTGTCATGTCAGTAAGAAAGCACATTCTGTTTTTCTGGACTTTGATCACGATGTCTGGGTTATGATCGTTCTGTCTATGTGGATTGTAAAGTCACATAAATTATGACAGGTTTTATCTCTGTAACCGGATCTAGGTGGTGTTCATGCAGTTTCTTTCCCGTAAAAGTTGCATATTATCCAGGGCAGATATAGCCGAATCTATGGTGCCATGTTTTTATATTCAGTGGGTGCTAACACTGTGTCACGTGATACAAGATGGTGAATTGTTTTTATTGATATTTATCGCAGAATCTGTCCAATTATTATTATTTTTATTTCCTTTTATTTCTGGCGTGTACACATTTCTTTCCGCCCAGAGACCTAAGGTTAGAAATAGCACCATGACACTTTCCACTGGAAAAAAACTAAAACTAAAAATAAAATAAAAAATAAAAATATTTTACATAGACAAAGCCCTCCGCAAAGTGTGGGGGCTGTACTTGTGAGAAAAAACTTTTGTATTTCTTTTGAGGCATGTGCTTTCAGGAATCACTTCAATTAGTCTACTGGAATCTTTTCCAACCAATCCTAGGGCTCCAACTACAACAGGGATTGTTGATGTTCCCATGTGCCACATTTTTGAGATTTCTATTTCAAGGTCCTTTTGACAGCTTTTTTAATATCTTGAAAGATACATTGCAGTCTGCAGGGACTGCCATATCAATAAGGAGGCACTTTTTTTTGTGGTCTTTAATAACAATGTCTGGGCGGTGTGTATTGTGTAGTCCGTATAGAATTGTAACAGGTCCTATCTCCGTAACCGGCTCTGGGTGGTGTTCATATCAGTTTCTTTCAGTTTCCTTCCTGTAGAATTTTATTATTATTATTATTATTATATTATTGCGCAGTACATGGAAACCAATCCGAGTGCTCCTACTACAACTGGAATTATAAATTTCCTCATGTGCTTCCTTTTTGAGATTTCCACTTTAAGATCCTTGTATTTTGATATTTTTTGAAGATCTTCAAAGATACATTACAATTTGCAAAAAATGCTTTGTCAATAAGAAAGCACCTTCGGTTTTTACTATCTTTGATCACGACTGCTCGCTTATTATTATTATTATTATTTGATCATAACAGATAAACACATCACAAAAGTTACAGCAACATAATATATGGCCACAGTGTATACGTATTACATTATAATTAAGCCATAAATATATTTGAGAATAACAAGAATATTCTGGAATTTATGATTCCTGACTTTTTCCAGATTACCAATATTTATCGGACCAGCCGTGATCAGGGGAATAGTCATTGACTAATTCACCACTGTCTATTGTCACTTAATTGTATCCAACCGATGCTGTTACTGTCTTTCCTATTTGTCTGCTTCGCATTTTCTTTTGGGAATTACTGTCAAAATAGATTTCCAATATTATTCCTCTTTTATCTCCCTTCACAGTCTCTTCTATAAATAAGTAATAAAATAGTGTTACATGTTGCACAATTTAGACACTCTAATCATGAGGTCAAAAGACTCCAACAACTCATTAATATTATTGAGAAACTTTCTATATATGCGTCTAAATTTAAACGAGCTCATGATTGAGAAAAGTGATCTTTAGTTTCGAAGCTTAAAAAAGAAGAAAGAAAAAATTGCTAGACTAAAACTTACCTCCCTTACATTTTCCCAGGCCAAATAAAAAATTTTGAATCGCAAAAAAGTAATTATTTTTTGATGTTTTTGTACCTGGTATATATTTTTTACTCGGATTATTTTCATTGTGTTTTAGGGATTTTTTTTTAACACAATATTTTCGCCGCTGTTCAAAAAATAACGTGAATATATTAAAATACAATGCTTAAAAATAATATGGAATTACCTCCCTTGGTTTTTTTTCTAACAAACTATTTAGCATTTTCGCCTAGATTCCTAAATGTGTGCAGGAAAAGCTAATGAGCTGCAGTAGAAGCGTATTTATTATTATTAATTAGCGCTCTTCATATTTTAATAATAATAATAATAATAATAATAATAATTATGGAGAATACCCAGTGATATAATTTAATGTCTAAGAAAGGAAATTGAGTAAATGTTATTGTTAATTTTTTATAATGTAATTATCATTTTTTTTTTTTTTTAAGCATTTCACCCCAAGCAAGGCGGGAAGTCACTAGGACGCAAGGGGTTACAGAAAATTTGGAGCAAGATCAGATAGGAGTGATAGAAGAAAGGATGAGGAGAAGGATAGTGGATAGATCAAGGCAACTGAGATGTCGATTGACATTACATTTGAATAGCTGGAGATTATGGCTCACAGGGAAACAGGAAAAGGAAGGAGTTCCACAGGCGAGAAGTGCGAGACATGAAGCTATTGGAGTAGAAGAGACGGCTACATTTAGGAGTTTCGACAGTGAAGGGGTGAGAGCGGGATGCCAGCCTCGTATGGAGCTTGAACTCATGACGTCTGGGAACCAGCGAATACAGCTCCTTGGAGCAATTTCCATGAAAGTATTTGTAGAACAGACAGAGGGAGGCGACGGCGCGTCTGTGAGAAAGTGACTGTAGCCGAGACGCCAGAGCAGGGCCAACTACATTGCAAATCCGCCTCTGGAGCCTATCAAGAACCACGAGGCAAACAGAAGGGGCACCAGACCATATATGGCAGCCATACTCCATGCAAGGGCGAATTGTTGATTTGTAGATCTGGAGGATCGACTCCAGGGAGAAAAACTTCCTAGCACGGCTCAGGGAGCCAACTTTCCTTGCGGTGGACGAAGCAATTAACTCAATGTATTTATTCCATCTCAGGTCAGCAGTCAACGTGAGACCGAGAAGCCACAGAGAGTTGCTCTCGAGAAGTTGAGCGTCAGACATTCTAATGGATGGAAGGGAATGATTTCTGTGGTGATTAATAGTGAGCAGTTTTGTCTTAGAAGCGTTGAAGTTGACCAGCCAATTCCTTCCCCAGTTCACAGTCGATTGGAGGTCCTTTTCGAGACGCACGGCCAGGTGAGTTTTGTCAGT